ATAATCATTTCCAATCAGTAAATTAATTTAGAAACATGAAAGAGAATAACTTCAGAATAAAAAACGTTCTTTTTTTCTTTATATTAGAAATTGGATCGTTCGAAACCATTTATTATTGTTTCAAATGCAAGTGCACAAGTACGAGAAATACCATTGAAATTTTCAACTACAAAATTTCAACAACAACCAACTGTTGAATTAAAGGTATTGTTTTTTTTAAAGGTTTACAATAATAACAAAAGCAGTTACATCTATTCCTAATTGTTTTTTTTTCATGATAGTTAGTTGCTTGTAATTTGAAAATAAAATCGCATTTGTTGTTTATTACATTTGATCTGTTCTCGATCGATGACGATGTCTATGTTTATAGAAACATATTATTCGATAAAAAGCTTCACGAAATTTAACATGAAGAAAAGAATAAAGTAATGGATTAATTGTTGAATTTAACCATAATAACCAAAATGTTACTTCATATATAAATGAAGATATACATTTATCTTCGTATTTACATAAAGCTCGTATAAGTGTTAATAATGTATATGGACACCAGCATATAACAAAAGCAAAAACGAGTATAAATAGGTTTTTTGCTGCTTTACGGTCACGTACTAATGATGTTGATTTCGAATAGCTGATTGGAAAATTTTTTTTTCGATCTTTTTCTTTATTTTTATCAGTTAAATTTGCATCAGATTCATTAGATTTTAATTTAATTACATTCTTACTTATGATTCCACGTGAACGCTGTCGTATATTTAAATAGACCAATAAATTAAGTGTTGTTAAACTAAAAAATGGTACAAAGAATTCTACAAATGCTGTTGTTACTAGATATGGAAAATTTTTCGCAAATGGTGGACCACATGTTCGATATAGATATGGTTCACTATTGGGCAGCCAATCCCACAATATGATTGCTGGACCTATTATCAAAAAAATATATATAAAAATCAAAACGTTGAGTAAATATCTTGTCAAGTTAAATTATGAGACTTGATCAAGTTATTTTAGCAATACTTTTTGCACATCTCTACATAGAAAGATGAAATAGTAATCGGGATAAGTCACGAAACATTCAATAAAAACATGAAAGTTTATGTAGCGTGTAATAAATTCTTACACTCATATTAATGTTTATATAGATAAACATACATCAAATAAGTTAGAAACATTATATTCTTTATATACAAACGATATAATAATCTTAGCAAAATAGTTGAAAGGTATGCATAAGAAATCGACTGAAGTTCAGATAATAGATCAGACTTATCTATCATGACTATCTAGTCTATAAAATGAGTCTAGAAGTTATTTTTATATTAGTAATTTTAAAGTGAGATTTTGCTTCTATCTTAGTACAAATAGTATCAAACGAGAATCAATTAAACTCTCATTCTTAATCCTTAGGCAATGGAAGTTATATAAATATATTTATATATATATATATGTCAGCATCTAATCTTTAAGTCAGATCAATCCAGGATTCTTACTAACAACACGTCCAATGTCGGAGCAGAAAATAAGTTTTCATTCAAACCTCTATTATTCTCTAGATAAATGTTGAATTCAAATTCTTGTTGGGGAACTGTGTTGAAACAAGGTAATACAATCGTCAGTAAATAGAAATTAAGTTCACATTCAAACACTTTTGGATAATTTTCCATAAAAGTTGTTATTCTGTAGAAAACTATTCATAACTTTACGAATACTTCATTAATTTCTTCATTGAAAATTGTACTTCCTTGTTATACTAATATTAGTCATTGTTATTTGATGGATTTGTGATTATTACTAAGGCTCTAATGTTATAGATCATCAGATATTAGATTTTATGAGATTTCAAAAATTCTCTATCGAACTATCCGCTGAATGTCATAAGATACAGTCTCGTTCTATTTTACTGCATAATTCCAGAATACTATAGAGTTCGAAGATAATTCACGAAATCTGTTGTTTTCTTGGCACATACACATACGATGGCAGGCTTTCATGAAATAAAAAACAAACAGAATTTATGTATCTTTTTTTAAAGAAAAACCCAATGCCAAAGGATTAATCATGCTCTAAAAACTGATTAATTAAGACTTATTTATACCATAATTAAGAATAGCGACAATCCATGTGCCCAGAACAAATTTTAATGCACGTCGTATAGATATATCTGATAAATAATTTAATCCTTTCGATACCATTTGATAACGATCGTAAGAAATAACAACAATACATAGTGTTGATGCCGAACCAACAACATAATCAAATACAAGCCACAGTTTACATAGATGATAACCAAGATACCATTCACCAAATATAAATTTATGAGCATAAAGTGGAATACTAGAAAAACAAAAACGTCATTATGAATATTAATATCAAAAATTTTCTGCATGAAAAAGATATTAACAAAGGAAAAGGAAATATTTTCGTAGGCGATTTTTCGTCTTAACAAAAATTCTTACATGTCTGAAAATGTTATTAAAATATAGAAAATTACTCAGAAGAAAAAACTTAAGAAATAATACACTTCCTTATTTTTAATATGGCACGAATAGATAATTAGGAATGTAGATGTATCTTATGGCATATTCTAAAGTAAACCTTCACACCGAGAGTAATGCTTTATTATTTGCTCTAAGGTTTGCTATTTTTAAATAGATTAAATATGACTTTCTTGGATTACTATTTCTGTTGTTTGTACATGAAAAAAACCATATGAACTTATTAAACATACCATATAAGACCAATTAGTAAATCAGCTATTGATAAATTAAGAATAAAATAATTTGAATAAGTACGTATTGTTGGTTCACGTATAAATGCGATGATAACTAACAAATTACCTGATACAGTCATGAATGTCATTAATGAGACTAAAAATATAAGAATAAATCTTGTAATATATGGCGAAAATATATCATGCATCATAGTATGATTTTTTAATAAACTTAGATTTTGAATTGTATTTGAAAGAACAGTTGACGAAGAAAAAAATGATTGCTCAATATTATTTAATGATTCATTAGAAGTAAAATTAAAAGGTAAAACATAATTGTAATTTAAAGAAATATTAGCACCACGAGCATTCCATAAAACAGGCCATTTTGGATTCATTATATAGCATTGCTATCGGTATTCATATTAAAAAATATAATCTGGAAAAGATATACATGTATACTTGTGTAAGACCGATGCAAAGTTTCATTTTTTTATGTAGTTATGTCAGAATGAATATAAAAGAAAAATAAGATTCCTGGATTATGACTATTATTGAAGATATAGAAAGAAAATTCTGATTTTCTCTTGTTCTCTCTCTCACCGTAATATTTCTCAATTAATGAAGAGGATACCTAGGAAATGAAACTAATGAGATTGAAATATTAACATGATACGAGAAGGACGATTAAAAGCAGGAAATAAGTTTGGCTTGCGTGCTTATTCGCCCTTTACTTCAGTTACAAAGAAAAGAAGACACTACATATTCATGTAGCATCTATATAACTATGGAAAAGATCGACAAACATCTGGAAAAATTTTATAATAGCGAAAATACTTTTTTTAACCAGAATAGATTCTTCCTTGAGAAAATCTTTCGTTATGAATCTCTTTATTCACCTATTTACTGAATAGAAACTAAACATACATTTATTAAGCTCTTATCATTGAGTATAATCCAGAAAAAAAAAACATTTCAGAGAAAAAATCTAATAATTTAAGCTCCTACACATTACTTATTTACTGTTCTACTTTTTAAAGAACAAAAAAAAGTTCATTAATTAATTATGAAAAATATTTTTTTTCATCAGTTCCTTTATTGTCTACTAGTAGATTTTCATTAAAAAAATGCTTTATATATAGATCTAACTTACAGAGACAATTAGAAAAATGTTGCAATGATGAATAAATCACCGTGTAGACAATAATTCACATCATTAGCTCAACTGCAACAGAAGCATGCAAAAAATGTAAATTAGTATTGTCATCTTTTTTTATTAGTTATTTCTATACATATATTATTATTACTTCATTTGAGCAAATTGTTGATAATTGACTGATTGTTCAGGGTATTATGCACTTGTTACTTCTTTGATGAATATGACCGTAATTAGTATTATTAAACTTGTTGTTTTCTAAACTGATTTATATGTAGAAATAAAACCGAAGCAGACAAAATTACAGAAAACGTTAAAAGATGGACAGATACTATGTCAACCGTAGGTACTTTTACTTACAAGTTATCTGTTAAAGCAAATGTATAACAATACTTATGAATTAATCATTAGATAAAAGATTTTTAATCTAAAAAATTCTCAGGACAAAATAATCCTCAGAGGCATTGCTGGAAACGCTTTTGTAAATTATTGTAAAAAATATAATTTTATAAGTTCAAGGTATTCTTAGTAGATTATCTCTTTACTTACGTGTTCGAATAAAACTAGTTTAATAAATCATATACAATGTATGTTTTAGTTTTTTTTTTTGATAATCAGTATTGATGTTATTAATTTTGGATCTGTTTGAATTCATAAAACTTTTATATCTAACTTTTTGTCGGAAACAAGAGACAAAAACGATGAATGCATCACTAATGCATCAGTCTCGAGGTATAGATATTGATTAAAGATTCTATAAAAAAATCATATCTAAAGTCGAACGTGCTCGAAATATGTGATCAACAATAGTGTTCTGTCTATTGTTACTAATTAATAATTATGATAGTGACATGAAAGAAAAAAAAAGAGGAAAGAAGAGATTGTCTTCAATATCTCAAAAATTTTGATAGTAGTTGAAAAAATAAAATTTTATTGAATAAGAAATAAGCATATGATCATGTTTGTTTTTCTATTACGACTTTCCGATGTTTGCCAGACATGAATATTTTTTGACTATATATATATATATATTATTTCTCTATAGTACAAAAAAAAGTAAAAGTAAGAGTTAATTTAGGATACAATGCGACGAGCTCTTTCGTATCGGCGGGTTACGGAACAATCAAACAAATGACATCCGTCATATTGTCGCGTGTATGTGAAGAATAAGAACCTCTCAAAACTTTTTGTCATAATAAACATGAATGATTAACAAAAATTCTTCAATGAATATAATATCAATCAGAAATGAGTAACGCAAAATATACATCTAAGTTTACAATTATCTTTTCGAGAAAATTAGAAAATGTGGAATCATTGAAATGGTTAAGAAGAGTGCGACTGATATAAAAATAAAAAAAAGTCTTTCACGTTTTCGTCTTGTTTCTTCAACTAGGTAAAAAAAAAATACTTCCTACATGAAACCAGTGAGAATATTCAAATCAAGCCAATATTACTGTAAAAAGTTGTGTGACAACGTGTTAATTTGGGTCTATCGTACTTTATACGCATCAGAATCATATTTCTTTTTAATTGCTGACTACAGACATCAAGAAGATTTGTATATGCGTATATATATGGAAAAAATATTAAAGAAAAGCGAGAAAAACAAGCGAACAACAAATCATTATATATCATTTTCTAAAAGATACTCAATCAAAACAAATTGCTAACAATTGTTATTTTATTTCCTGTTTTTTTTAATTACTAGAATGATCTTTAATTTAAAGAGAAAAACACAAGTTTATTTTATATATATATATTTTTTTTTCTCTCTAGCTTGAAACACAAATACCACCTACTGTTGAACGATCATCTCAACATTGGGTATGGCTTATCGGCCTTAGTATTACAGCTGGAGTTATTCTTTTAATCATACTTGTTGGTGTTCTCTGGTGTGTAAGTATCATATAATAGGTTTAAAAAATTTTTGTGAGTCATTGATTACCTCCTATTGTTTTTGTCAATGTTACTTACAAACTTTTGAATTTCGACTATATTCTTTTGTCATGACGTATTATTTACGTCTATAGTAATATTAGTTCGTAATAAAGAATTTTGCACCAAACATATTCACTTAAGATAGTGCCAATAGTTGCCATCAAGATACTATTTGTTTCTGTAATCATTAATCTTTCATAGCTTCATATTTTGTCATAATTAGTTTGTATGTTTCGTATACTTTCTTGTAAGATTTCTCCAGATAAAAAACGGCTTTCTTTTGATAATAGTAATCTTCGAAGAAAAAAGTTTTAGCAGAAAAAATAAATAAGAATCGATTGCCTATTCTAACCTGAGTTATGAACTCTATGGAATTGAACGTGAGACTTTACTAATGTAATATTCGCACGTTTGATAAGTATTCATATACTATGTGAACTATTTCTCTTAATAGAACCAGAAAATTTTGCAGTAGAAGTTTTGTTTAAGAGTACTAAAAAATCTAGCGTTTGGCTCTTTTTGTCTGCACAGTTGAAATCACTAGAATTGTTCATGTTCTCACTCATCAATTCAATGTTACCGTTAAGGGAGTCTTTTGACCTACTACTTAACCTAAAACAAACTATCTATCTTGAGTGTTTTCAATACTATAGGGTGTTCTCAAGGTGATGAATAACACGTGTAAATAGCAAAAAAAACCAGGATCTTTTTTTTTAATTTTCTTTCATATGTTAGTTTCTATGTAGATATAATAGAACCTAGATATAATTGAAATTATCAGATGCCCTGGAAAATAACATAAAAAACGTTCTTAAATTTAGTTTATCATTTTATTTCAGTGTGGTTTTTTTAAACGAAATCGTCCACAATATCCAGTATCAGCTCAAGATGATTCTCCAACTGGTGAAAATCATTATCATTTATCATCATCTAAACAATTTAGAAGACATCCTTTACAAGTTGATAATGATGAAATATCAAGTGATGATAATGATGATAATGAAATGATGATACAAAATCCGGTCGATAGTTTACCAATCGTTGTACCACAACATTCATCTCATTTTATTCAACAACAACAACAAAGAACTCAATTTCTGTATTAAGAATAGCCATATAAAAACTAATCTCTTTTTTTAATCTAAATTTAGATATATATTAATATATATCTATACATATATGTCTGTCTAAGTCGTTGTTCTTTGTTTTTTATCTATTTTTTGATGTGAAAATAATAATAATAAACAAAATTGGTATTGACTCTCTCTATTATGTTTGTGTCGATATAATGCAATCATCTCTTCTCTATTAATCGTGTACATATGCTTGCTTGAAGTTATTGAAGAGAAAATTGAGATGTATGTGATTGAGGCGACAACAAAAAACATTTGAGCCGCTGCTTTTTCAACAGCAACCCAGTATGTATGCGTCAATATGTTTGGTTGTCACGGACTTCTGAAATGAAATGTTACTGATGTTTGGTCTTCAAGCAATCAAAGAAGTGTGGCCGTTGCATCTCTTCGAGCAAAAGAAAAAAAATGTAAAAATGTCGCGTGTAAAAAAAAAAAGAAAAGAAGAAAAAGAGCTTAAGAGAAATGGAAAAAGAATAGAAATCAATGATGGTTATTGATTCTCTGACATCAATTTTTTAGAAGAGAACGTTTTCTTTGTTTAACCGTTGCATACATAAGTAGTAAAAAAAAAACCTCCATTTTTTCACATGGAAAATATTTAAAAACTATTAAAACTAGACAATATGATGAATCCATCACGACCAAGCACATCATGTCAAATGCAAAGACCGTCATTAATGGATGATGATAATCATATTAACAATAATAATAATAATGGAAAACATTTATTATCAAAAAGTCTTACATTTGAAAATGAACAAAGAAAACAACAACAACAACAACAACAACAACGAATGACACGACCAAGTCGACCATCTCCACCTAGTAGTGAACCATCACCACAACGTTTAGGTCGTAGTTTACTGAGTAATGATAATTGGCGACAAGAAACAATGGTCGATGTTCGTCTAAATGCTAAAGCTATCGAACAAAGTGATCAAAATATTCTCTTTGGTAAAGGTAAGATTTAATTGAAAAGAAAAAGAATCTAATACCAAAGAGAGAAAAATTAAATATAAATTTTAATTGAGGTATGGATCCTTTACCACAGGTACGTGAAATGCTTAGTGAACTGAGTAATACTGAAGCCTTTCTTTACGCACGACAATGTCGTGTTGTTGTGGCTAAATTACGTTTATGTTGGAGTGATGTTAATGAAGAAATTAAATCATTATTAAAGCATAAAGAATATACAGAAGCAGCTATTGAACATATTCGTAAAGATTTAATTATTAATCAAGAAAGTGTTAAAATAAGAAAGAAACCGAAACGAGAAGCGGTATTCTATTTTTCTTTATTTTTAATATTTTTAAATACAGTTTTTATTTGTATGAATAGGAACTTGATGGTGTTGATGATATACTTGGTGCAGAAAAATATCATTTAGTAAATATAAAAAATATTTTAGAACTTAATTGTAAAAATATTGTTGATCAAATGCAGGTATGAAAATTTTTTAATAAAAAAAAAAAATAATTTACTTAATATTTAGAAACTTGATGAAATTCGTCAACGTGTTACTAAAATTGGTAAAGAACGTTCAGTAGTTACAGAACTTATATGTCAATGTTTAACAAGCGCATCAAGAACATTTGAATTGGCTCGTTTTGAAAAGTAAATATGAGAATAAAATAAATATTCATTTTATTTAATATCATTTCTTTAGACTAGATAATTTACAATCACGTCGATCACCAATGACAGCACCACCAGCTCGACCATTATCAGCACTTGGTTTTCGTCCACCACGTACAGCACGAAATAATCCAACATTATCAATGATAACATCATCTAATTCAAATTTAAATAATATGAATGTTACAGCTGAATCAACATTACTTGATGAAAATGGTTTACCACTTGTTGGTCATCTACTTGCTTTTACACCTGATGTTATACAAGCATTTCAAGATGCAGCAAAATTAATTGAAGAATCACGCGAAATAAAAAAACAAGCTATGAATCAAATCAAAGATGCATTTAATGATGCTAAAGCTTATTCATTAACTGTTAATCAAAGTGTTGCTCAGAAACTTGCCGATATTATTACATTAGCAGTAAGAAAATTAAAGTTATTGTTATTATTGTTTTTTCAAATATATATATATATATATATATGTATATATTAATATTCTAATAGCAACATTTGACAATATCACTCGGTGAAAATTCTCTTGCTCAACATCGAGCACAACGTTGGTTTGATTTAACAATGAGTGCTCAACGATTTAATGCAGGTCCACTTAGTTCATCTAGTTTTAAAATAGCTGAACGTCTTGATCGTCCTATTATTCGAACATTCCAACGACATCCAGGTAATCAAGTACCTGAAGCTCAAATCACTGCTAAAGTAAATTAGAGATCTTTTTTTTTTCTTATATTTATTCATTGAATTTTTTTCTCTTATTACTTCAGGCAACTAGTGATCTTCAACAGTCGGCTGAAGAAACAAGAAAACAATTGAAAGCATTAAAAATTGTTGGTCAACGATTACAAGCTAATTTAATTGATAAAGAAATAGCATTAGAGGTTGACGCACATCTTCTTCGTCGACGGCGAGAACGATCTAATCATAAATGGGGCGTTACTAAATATGTACACGTTTGATAAAAAAAATTCGCTTTTTTCTTCTTCTTCTTTTTCAAGTCCTTTTCCACCACCGTCTGATTTATTATACTATATTAAAATATTTTTTTTTTCTTTTCTTCGTCACTTCTATTTGTCTTTTCAAAGACAACTAGTTGACTACTACTACTACAATTACTCCAAACAAAAAAGCACAAATATTTAGATAAAATATACGAAAAAAAAACCAAAATTTTCCTTTTTTTTTTTTAATTTAATTTTCAGTATGTAATAATGATGGATGACCATTGTCGTCAATTAATTGTGAGTGTACAGACATTAAACCTTTAAAATATCGAACCGTTTTTACTTTTAATTCCATTGTTGCATCTTCATCACAAACACATAAAAATCTTGGATGATTTTGAAATGCTGATACCGTCCACATATGATTAATACCTTCTTCAATAGCCATATGAAGTGCATAGGCTTTCGATGTACCAGATATTAATATTAATACCTTAAAAGAAAAAAATTACCTATATGTTGTCATAGAAATTTAAAAATATACAAAACAAATGTGATCTGTTAACGTTGTTTAACAAGTAGAGAAAGAAAAAAACTTTTTTTCGGTTCTTTTTCTTTGTCAATTATTTAATGGAGCATTGAGTAGTAACATGTAATCGAAAAGTAATTAGACAAATGTTCATTCATTTTTCAGCCTTTTTCAAGTGCCTTGAGAAATTTGAAAATATTGAGTTAGAAACAGAATTTTGTATTCTTTCCGAATATGGCTTCAAAACTTTTCAATATTTGTAAATGAAGTTTGAATGAAGAAAATTAACCTTCTTTGCTGCTATAAAGGATGATCAGAAAGTTTTTTTTTGCACAAAAGTTTTGTTCACTTTTGATCCGTTAGAACGTATTGGTGTTGAATTCTCTAAGCCCATATTGAAATTCTAGTCACAATCAGCAGTTTTTTGGCTTGTTTGTAATGTTCTCAAGCTGGCAAGAATGAACAAACGTGTTTTTCAGAAACGTTAACCCACAAGCTCCGTTCATGCTAAGGTTTTGAATTTTCAAAGATTATTTTCCTACTCTCGAACAGAAGCGAGTTTTTATTAGTTAATAGGAAAATGGGGATTAACACATTGAGTTAATGGAAAGCCAGAAAAGTCAGAAAAAGTGTTTTTTTGAACCCAATGAAAAAAAACTAGTACTTTTATTGGAAATCCTTTGTATTAAAGTCTATCGACTCCTGATCTCTGCTTGTGATTAGATTTTACTGAGTTATATTTGTAAAAGACGAACTTGTTCTTTACAAAGTGATATAAGAATCAAGCGTTTCTGAACAATTATTCTGAAATGACTGAGTTCAATTTGCAAGTCTATTTCTGATAGAAATCGAGAAGATTGCCGAAACTGACACACTATTCCAAGGGGAAAAAGCGGATTTCGTCTATCCGAGATACGGTGACAATCCACACAATCCAAAGGATACGATTACGATACAGTCGATACCCTCCTGATACGTACGATACGTTGCAGATACCAAGGATACGAGTTCATTCAATTGAGAAATTCAGAGTATGTAGGATAGTTTTAATGCGACTATAGCAAGCCGATGCTGATGAAGAATTTCAGCCAATTTCAAAGAGTTTGCGATGTGGTTTGTCATTTATCCAACCATGATCACATCGTTTTATGGCGCGAAATAGATTTAATATAAGAGACATAATAATTCTAATAATATAGCATCAAATAAATCTATATATTGAAGACTCATTCGCTGTGTGCAAAATATTTGACAGGTTCAACATTCTATGAGCCAGTCCACATCACTAAAGACTGAACTTGTTCTGAATCGAATTCTTAGGCTTTGTTGATTTGAAAATACTTCCAGGAAACAATTTTAAGAAAGACGATACAACAACTATTAAAAAATATCGTTCGATAGTTGAGGTATTCAAAGCTTTTTAGAACAGAACTGTAAAAGCAATATTTTTGTGATTATGTCTACATGCATATCTTAACCAATACGCATGTTTAACTCGAAATGTTTCATATACATTTCAAGTTGATACAATTATCGTACAATGATGAGTTCAGATTAATGACAACTAGATAAATTGATCAGTACTACTAGGTATACAAGGAAATGATCATTGTTGAGGTGTTTTGTGGATACATATGTCTGGTAACTCGATCATGTGACAGACCTGAAATTGCAGTCATAAAAAGAAGTTGTTAAAAACTTCCTGTAGCAGAAAACGTGACTCTTTAGATAGTTTATAGCAGTGATGGGACCGATTCAGTTTCAAACCGAACTGGACCGAAATCGGGTCGGTTCGAAATTTTGAAAAATTCAGTCGGTTCGGTTCGGTTCCAAATATCCGGAATCGATTACATCTAAATATATATTCTAACATATTTGTTAACTTGTCCACTAAAAATAAATGAAGAAAGTATAGCACATTTTTATTGTTTACTCATATGTTTCATAAATCTTCAGTCACTAGCAATAGTTTTGTTCATCGTTCAGTACATAATTTTACAGACAACATTTTAATAGGAAGCACTCATATACATATATAAGTAAATACTAATTGATTATCAATTTGTATTAGTTTTTAATGCATTAATTAAATCTCGCTTTGTTTTGAACTTCAAAATAATCCTTAGCAGACGGTAATAAAGTTAGAAAAAATTATCTAATTAATGTCTTAAAATGGACAGCTTTACTGAGATTTTCAGACCTTTCAAGTTTAGCCAGTCATAATGGTTATTACTTTTCAAACTGTAAAAGACGAAATGAAATTTACAATTTTGACGAAATTGTTATATTTTGAAGAGCAACACTTTCTTTTTCAATAGGTGTGCTTTTCACATCATTAGTTTATTATTATCAAGTGCCCCATTACTCCGAAATCATAAACTAGAAAAATATAGAGTAATGGCTAGACATTATGACACATATAAATTATTTCTCAAAACCTACGCTATATGACATTTTCACAGAACGTCCTGGAAAGAATAATAACCTGCTAGTTGAAACAAGTTATGCCCTTTACACTGAACGACAAATGAAGACGCAGTGAGTTATTCTTGATTAACAAAAAGATTGGCTAGCCGCTAAAAATACGCTACAGTCTTTTCCGATGGGAGAATATTTCTAACATAAAAACGAAAATATCTATGTTTTTAACATTATATGTAGCTCGTTTTTCTAGGTCACTCTTAGAACTATCGAAAGTGTTATAAGCATGTCTTCAATAAATTGTTGTAAGTGAATATTCTGAAAAAAAGATTAGAAACTGATAAACTTTTTTTTCTTTATTTTTTAATCGGTTCGGTTCGATTTGAAATTTTGAAAAATTCGATTGGTTCGGTTCCAAAAAAACACGAACCGATCCTACGGTTTCTAGAACCCATAATACTGTTCAAAAACTCATGATTTCGATCAAAGACACGATTTTTAAAGGACCTTCGAGTGAGATGTGATGGGGTAATTTTCTGATCTCATCGAATTTTTTTCTTTGAAATGTGGTTTCAGCCAGTACTTTAAAGAATTGCTGACTAATAAAATTTGTTATCACCTCATTGTTCATCTTATTTCTTCAACACAGATATGTTGGTTTCTGATTTTTTTACTAGGTTTCATAAGACATTTGCAAATCTTTTTTCAGAAGTTCAAATAATGAGACCTAAAGCTTTTTTTATATTTCTATATAGTTCATAAGAGTTTATATTCTTAACGTACTCCTGCATAGTTTTTGATTGTATCATTGAAGAAACCGGGCTATGAAAAATTTTCAGTTTAAATCAATGTTCAAAACAATATTTTATAACCGTCCAATGAAAATGAAGTAATGAGTATATAGTGGATTCTGGTAGATTATGCCTAGCTCCGAATGTTATAGATTTCAAAAGAATTCGTAAATATCTAAAATTCACTAAAATGCGCCATAGTATATGAAAAAATTTCTATTAATTCTTAACACTGGGAAAATCTAGCAAAAAAGACTAGAAACTGATAACTCATGATAAAAAAATCTACGCTACAGAGGAAACTCTTATTACGTTCTATTATGCAAAGATATGAAAACGAAATCCTCTGATCACAAAAATAGGTTATAAGTTCCAACGGAATCGATTAAACTTATATTATATAGATTTCGATGAATTCTCTATTGTAGCCACGAGATTTCGTCAAAATCCTAATACCCTAGTTTCTCTATTTGATTTTGAGAGAAACTAATAAAATGTATGTGATTAGTGTAATAATTTGATATCGAATAAACCGATTGCAACATGTATGAACAGAATGGATTCAGTTGCTTAAATGAAAAATCGTAGGAATTGATTCTAGATTTGAAATGTTTTTATTAGACGAGTTGTTCCATGGGACACTTTTGTGATCCCATTGGAAACTCTGACTCTAATGTACAAACTGAGCTTTAGAAAGCAATTCAAAAATTTGCCTGGAATCTTTCAGAATGATCCCTCGGTCTAACTGAATGATAATCAACAATAGCTGATTTGCTGTAGCAGAATATGCTTCGGTTTGTTTAAAAATTCATAGAAAACCTTCATCTTGTGAAGTGAATTCTATCCAGTATTACGCGGTAGCTGAATATCTATCCCACTTCATAACAAACCTTTCAAAAGTAATAAAAAATTCTTTGTGAAAGCTTCTCGTGCGCCTTGCGGTCCGTATAGCGAACAAGCACTTGCGAAAGATTCGTGTCTTCCTACGGGAGTTTTCGAAATTTTTTCTTTTTGTCTTCAAAGGACTCTTTATGGGAATCTATAGAGGACTGTATCCTGATCTCTGCTGAATAAAATCTATAGCACTTTATGTAATCTTTTTATTAATTTTCGAATCAATTCGATTACATTTTCCATGGCTCATGGATTAGTTTTGACCATTTTTCAATAATTTACCTAAGTATATTTCTGGAGAGCGCATTTCAACTCTTACATAACTTTAGGATGTTCAGTATGTGCTTCAAAATTACACTAATCGGACTTTAATTGATCAG